AGACTTTCTTGAGATCCGTGTGGACTCCGTCTTGAGGTCTCCGAGTCATGAGGACGTCTTCATAATATAGCCTGGCGTATTCTAGCATTCCTGCCACTGTCGAAGCCGTTGGGGCTGCGCTATTGAAGGGGTGTTTGAGTTCTACCATTTGCCGCACCGATCAGCGAGGTAGCAGTTTTTGGAAGGTCTCTTTGTTCATCTTATCATTCGTTTCTATCCCCTTCACTTTGAGGAATTCAGTCCACCGTCTTTCCTCTGCTATCTGCATGTCATCCCATTCTGCCAACCGCTTCTCCCGCTCTGCTGCCCATGCTAGAACCGATATCGGGTGACCTTCCATCCTCTCCTCTGCTTCCTCTACTCTCCATTTGCACTCCGCCTCTTCTTTGTTTCTGGATCCGGCCAGAATCTTCGAACAGACATTGAGAACACTTGAGATGATCGACTGCCCACCATCTGTCCACTCTTCCATTGAGGGAAATAGGTGTTTGGTCTCTTTCCAGTCGTGCATGTGCCGCTCCACCCACTCCAATATTCCTGAGTCTTCCAGATTTTGCGTGTTGAGTCTGAAAAAAACTTTGCCTTGCTCAATGTCTGTCCGCGACTTGACTTCAGGAATTACCGGTTTGTGGTCTGACAGTGGATTACAGATTTGTTGTACTGATGTAACCCCCTCCAGAATCTGGTTGGCTACTAAGAGTAGTCCAGCCTCCTCCTCGCCACTGTGTCTGTTTCTCTGCGGATGTGAGAGACCCAGGTATATCCTGGTTCCTTCGGTGAGAGCGTTCTGAACGGGTCCGGCAAGTTGAGCTTCGATGTCAGCTCCAACAGGGTCTGGACGTCTCTTCTACTGGCGATGTGCAAGTCCGGTCTCAGTGCTTTGTCCAATGACAGGTTTCAGTCTCCTGCTATGATCAAGTTCTCAATTCTTGGAATGTGCGAGATCATGTGTGCGAAGAATCGGCTCGTTTTCCAGCGTCCGTAGGAGCATACACTATCATCACCACCCATTCCACGCCCCCTGATTCCAATCTGACCCACACCCACCTACCCCATATATCCATTTCTGATTCGATTAACTGCATCTGCAGATCGCGATGCAGCAGGATTCCCACTCCACCTCTCGTCTCTTGCGTCGGAGCCCAGATCCTTGGACCGTCCCACCAGTTTCCCAAAGCAGCCAGTTTCTCGTCGTCTAATTTTGATTCCTGCACTGGGAGACAGTTCACCTTCCTATCATGCACCCAACTTTTGACTCATCTCCGTTTTTGTCTGTTGCTAGTGTCCCCTAACCCTCGCAGGTTCCAAGTAGCTACCTTGAGTCTATTCATGGATCTGTTGCTGCACGGCCGCCTGGTCTTGGATACGGCTTGATTCGAACTGCTTGGCCTAGTCCAGTTGCTGTTGGTCTGGAACCGCCTCGGTGGTGTTGAGGTAGCGGTCTCCAGACCACCGCAGGCGACTGGTACCTTGGCTGAGCATGATCTGGTGCTACTAACTGAGTGCAATGTTGCGCCTGTGGTGCAGAGTTAAGACCTGGGTGGAACTCCTGCATAGCGCTCCAATCGTCCTGCTGTCGAAATTGAGTCGGCTGTGGTCGTTGAGGTGAATACATGCCCTGGTGTTCCTGACGGAGGTGTTGCTGTGACGTCCATTCCAGCTCTTGGCTTGAACACTGGTTCTTCCTCTGGAATTGGACCAACTGGCCAGTCCATCCTGTTTGCCCAATGCGGCAACATGTATGGCTCAGGTCAGTGCCGCCCTTGGGAGGGGGCGCCTTGATGTTGGCCTTGGCCTCCGTACTGCCTGCTGTTTGCCCCTCCTCTGGCCTGGGGCTCCACAGAGTTTAAACTGTCGTTACCTTCTGTTCTGACTTGCAGTTGCACTAACTGTTGTCGTTCCCAGTTTGAGTGTCGGCTTCTATTGCTTTGCGCCTGGGCTATGGAGTCTTGGAACTGTCCCCTCTGCGTGTCACTCCTGTTGGACCTCCTCGCATCCTGTGAACCTGGTGCCCCGGTTTATTTAGCTCCTCTATCCTCTTCTGCTACCGCTTCCCCTCCCATTGGCAGGACTCTGTTTATTAAGTGTTGTCTGAAACGTTCTTGATGTCCACCGGCTTTTGCTCCTCTCTCATTCCTCCCTTCTTCATTCTGACGGTTGATTGGTGTAGGGGGTGGCTATTTCCACCTTCCATCTTTCCCCCTTGGGCGACTCGATAATTAGCTTGTCTTCCACGTGAAATCTGGCCTCTGGGTGCAGATCCAACTTGATGTTCATTAGCTGTGGTCTTGATCGGTCATATTCTGGGGGGTGCATTATTAGTACCTCCCCGAACATGCCTCTTGCCGCGTCCCGTAAGTAGTAGTATGCATCGAGCGGGACCCGCAAGGCCGTAATCCCCAAGCTCGTCTCTGCCTCTTGCAACTTCAGCATACGAAGTTCCTGTTTTGGCATCCATGGCTTGAAGGTCGTCAGATATTCCTTTGCACCTAGCTTTAACTTTTCTTTTTTTTTCCTTAGCAGCCATTCGGCCACCTCCTTTGCTTTGGCCACATAGGATATCACGTTTTGCCCCTCGAATCTGATCCGACCTCTGCCCAGCTCAGGATTTGAAATCCTCTGAGATATCCAGCCATCTTCCTGAGCTCTGATCAAGTCTTCTTTTACCTGCCTCGACAACTGTTTTGCTCCCTCTTGGAAGATTACGATGACCGTACGTTCCTTCAGCCAGGATTCCTTGATGTCGTCTGCTGCCTCGTACACTACAAGGTGTCTCCCCTGCTCATCCTCCACCACTTCTCCCAACTCTAGTCCATCCGGGCATATGCCGTCATCGTAACATTTCTCCACTGAAGCCCGCACCTGGTCTTCAGCAGCTGTCGGTTGACGCTGTTGAGCTGGAGGAGCTTGCCGGCTTGAGGTGTCTGTCACTGTTCTTCGTTCCCTTGCTCCTGACGGGGCCGCTGCCGTTCTCATCGTCGGTGGGACATCCCTTCCTGGACTGTTTGGCAGATCTGCTACCCTGTCTCGTTCCATCTTCCGCCGCTTGTGGCAACCTGTTACTTCTGTTGAGCCAGCGTCAAGGCTCGAGGCTAATCGGCCCTGCCACAGTCTTCGACACTCGTACCGTTTGATCCTGTCCCGATCACTCCGTGGAGGTGGTGAAGTTGTAACCTCCCTCAGACCTTATCTTCTCAGAGTTTTGCCCGTTCTCCTGACAGGCTATCCTTATTCCTCCGATCAGGTATCCTCATTCCATGGAGCGACAGGTAGATCGTTGAAGGAAATTGGATCCCACGACTTTTGTTGTTAAGCATTTATCCACGTCTGTCGCTGGGCAACCAAACTCTTGTGGATGGACCTGCCACCGGCGAATAGCTGAGTGATTCCGACGAACCCAGCGGTCGTTCGGATACACTCAGACTGTGGATCAGGACACAGGTGGGCTACCTAAGTGGGACTAAGTAACGCGCAATCTAGGACCAGTTCCAGATCATGTGAACTTCCATCGTCTGCCCTAGCTGTCCCCAAGGTTGATTACGGTTAGATCTGGATTAATCCGACTACGATTGCGAGTAGCGAGTGAAGTAGGGCACCCACTAGGGTCCCTAGAGAGAGTCGGTGTGTGCACCAACTGTGAGAGTTTGTGGCACTGTAAGAGTGCCGTGACGACCTCATGTCGAGCAGAGGTGCCCAATTCCCACTTCGCTGGAATGCTTCTTTACCTCGCATCTCCTCTTCCCACTTCTATTCTACCTCTAGCTATGGAGGCAGGATCACCTTCGCCCTGTTCTGATGCTCTAGGACCCACGCTTCACGAGACGCCTACAGCCTCTACTTCAAACCTCTGGTTGAATTTTACTGTAACCGGTTACCTACGTGGTACTTACCCACCTGCCTTCTCCCTCGGGGAGGGTGATGAGAGGTTATGCATTGGTTCGCTCCTATTCTCCACTTCCAAGGTCTGCCGAGATAATTCCTCCTGTGTGTAACTCCCTCCAGGACAATGACGACATAAAGGCGGTAGTTGCTAAGCTCCCTCTCCGGCACTTGTCTCCCTGCCACTATTCCCGCTTGAATTTGATTCACCCTGCTGTCTTGCTTGAAGTTGTCCGCCAGATCTTCGCTTGGTGAAGAAGACGGTACGTTACAATTCGAATATCCAAATGTCACTCATCCCTGTCGACTGGAAAGATAGTTACTGTGTGCGTGAAGGATGCTCCGTATCCGCGGTGACTTCTCAGCACAAACATTTTTACCGGGATGAAAAATTAGTTTACTGTGTATGCTACCATGGTAAATTGGCTATGGTATACGGTAGTTATCATGTGCGTGAGATGTCTCGTACCAGCGGTGATTGCTCGGATATTGGAATTTTAACGTGGAGAGTGGTAATTAACCGAGCTTCCAGGCTATGTTAAAAACCCGATTCTTGCTGCGCCTAGGACTGTTCGAGCGGAGCTCCGCTGAGGTAATTAACCGAGCTTCCAGGCTATGTTAAAAACCCTATTCTAGCTGCGCCTAGGACTGTTCGAGCGGAGCTCCGCTGAGGTTGAGCCTCCTCCCTCGTCATGGGGAGTGTGGTTGCTCGCTTCCGTTCTCCGTCTCGACGGCGGAGGGGACAGTCGAACAGCGCCTCTCGTCGAGGTGAGAGGGCGACATCGGTTGCCGGAGTGTTACGCTACTCCGCCTGTCGCCGAGCGACGCCGGGGACGGTCGAACAGCGCCTCTTGCCGAGGTGAGAGGGCGACGCCGGTTGCCGGTACGCTCCCCATTCAATGCTTCTTTTTTTTTTTTTTTCGGATATTTTGTGAGGTCCCGACCTATTTTTTTCCATTTATCCCTTCATTTCCTAGCGTGGACCAAAAATTGAAGTCAAAACAAGTTGATTTTTTTTTTTGGCCATTATAAAATCAGTCCATAGAACGGCCTTTTGAGCAGATAAGCGACGCAATTCTCCCCTACCACTACCTTTGTGAGCCTTGGGAAAAACGGGAATGTGCATCACACTGCATTTTTAGGGTGTTCCGGCGAGGCTCGGGAGAAAAGAAGTGTTTGGGCGTTGTGTGCCCATTTGCCAAAAAAAAAAAAAAAAAAAAAAAAAAAAAGAGAGAGAGAGAGAGAAGCAACTGTGTACAGACCAATGAAGTCGGGGAACGTTGAGAACAAGGTGTGCTCACATCAGAACTTCCAGATATGTATGTAACCACAATTGTTTTTCTTCTGTCTTTTTTTTTGGTCCTCTTTTCTTTGTGGTGCCCTGCCAGAGAGGCAGGGCACTTTCCACGGATTGCTGACAACTCACGCACGGAGGGCATTGAGTCACACACACTCCTGATTCCCCACTGAGGGCACACTATGACACACTCCAGATTCTGTATCTGGCTGCAATCACGTCCATAGGGTGATTGCTTTTTTCCTTTCCCTTCTTCAATTTTAGAAAGAAACTGCCCTGATGCCCGCGCCTCTGTAACGCCCTCACAGATGGGCATACTCTCACACATACTAGAGATTCTGTATCCAAACGCAATCATGTCCGTAGCGTGGTTGCTTTCCTTTTCATGTTTCTCCTACTTCACATTCATAGTGAATGTCCTGAGGAAGCCGGAGTTTCTTTTTTTTTTGCAAAAAAATGCGAAGGAACTCAGGCTCGGCAAAAGTCGGTGCCCAGTGAAATCCCGCATCGGCAAAAACAAGGGGGGGGGGGGGGGGGGGTGATCACCATCCCATATCCATCATTCAAGTCGACGACGCCCGGGCATTTTGTTTATCAATTCATTTTCTTTTTCTTCCGTTTATCCCTTCATTTTCTAGCACAGCTACTATCCCGACACCCGGACAGGGATCCGGACTGTCCGGGGTCCGTTGTCCAGTCCAGGTTTCCAGAGGAACGTGGTCCAGATGTTTGGAAAAGGGGGGGTAGGCCAATTTTCTTTTGGGGCGGCCCAGGTCTTTTTCTTAAATTCTGGGCCGCCGTGGAAAGTACTAGGTGATTTTTCAAGTGTCATGCACGGCATCCAGACAGGGCACGACAGAGGCCCTAAGTCTTATTTTCCGGCCCGTAATTTTTTTTTGGGCGGCCCGGGTCCTTTTCTTCCATTCTGGGCCGCCGTGGAAAGTACTAGGTGGATTTTCAGATGACATGCACGGCATCCAGACAGGGCACGACGGAGGCCCTAAGTCTTATTTTCTTTTTCCTTTTCTTTTTTTTCCGTGTTTCAAGACGGGCAGGATAGAGGAATTTCGCCAGCATCCCGAACACGCAGGAACCCGAACGGGCCCGCCGAAAGAGGCGCGTACTCAAGGTCATCGACTGCCATGACGGCCACCCGTGGGGGGTTTCAATCGCTCCCCACCGCAATGCCAGTCACAGCAGCCCATGCTGGCAGGAAAAATTTGCGTGTCATCCTTGCGCAGGGCACGACGGAGGCCCTAAGTCTTATTTTCCGGCCCATATCTTTTTGGTGTGTTGTCGTCGGCATAAGGCCCATATCTTTTCCCTATTTTGTAATTTGCAGAAAGCTGTTACTGTGCAGTATCAGGCGCGCCCATATCTTCCCAGAATCACCTAGTACATTCCCCTCCAAAACAAAGAACTTCTAATTAAAAAAAAAACGAAAAACGAAGATCCCCCCAAAAAAAGAAAAACAGCACCCGTCAGATCGGGCGCCTGCGAGGGGGCTTTGGGCCTGGCTCGACTACTCACCAGATGTGCAAATCAAAGTCAAAATCATTCAGTTGTTTGTTTGATTCTATACTATTTTAATTCTTCGATGATTTGATCTTTCAGATACTCAATGAAAAAATAAAGAATGAGAATGAATCTTCCGCTAGAACATGGAAAGATTCACACCCATACCTTTTGTCATTCGCATGTGGTGAGTATGCCCACCCTCCAAGGGAAACCCAAATCTCTTTTTTTTTATTGTTTTGGCCAAGGGCTTGACTGTGTCCTTTGAATGTGCACATACCTTTGTAGGACTGGACACTTCGTTTTTTTATTTTTTTTATTTTTTTTTCCCTTTTTTCGTTTTTTTCCAAAAAACAGCCAAGCGGAAGCTTGGGGTGCTGGTAAGAGCAGACACCGAAATAAGGAGCAACTAATGGATTCCTTACTTTTCCCAAAAAAAAAAAATATATATATATATATAAAAAAAAAAAAGAGAGAAAAAGTAAGAGCAGACACCGCTACCACCGCCGGGGAGGCTCCATCTATTGGTGGGGAGCAGCACCTGCTGGAAATAGGGTGACTGGACACTTTGTACATTAGAGCCAAAGACGAACAAGAAATTAATATGCCATTTTCAGATAGGGGGACAACTGTCCCGAATTCCCTCTGCCTGCCACTTGGCAGGATCCATGAGTGCTCTTTTCTTCCTTTTTCAGTTTTTCTTTTTTTTTTGTCTTTTTCTTTTTTTTTTATATTTTGGAGAAAATTTGGACTACTTCTCGATTTATGTGTGTCATCCTTGCGGAGGGGCCATGCTACAGGTGCCCGTACATTCGAGCCAAAGACAAACAAGAATTGAACATACCGTTTTCAGATAGGGGGACCAACCGTCCCGAGTATCCCTCTGCCCGCCACTTGGCAGGTTCCATGAGTGCTCTTTTCTTCCTTTTTCAGTTTTTCTTTTTTTGTTTGGAGAAAATTTGGACTATTTATCGATTTATGTGTGCCATCCTTGTCGAAGGGCCATACTATAGGTGCCCCTTTTTAAACATGGCCATTGGCAAAAAGCCAACGGCATACCAACGGGGCCGGCCCACTTTGGTACACCCATGAACTGTTGAAATACAGACATAAGTTCGAATCCAGCCTCAATCAGATGACCAGAATAAAAATAATTCTGAATCACCTGGGGCCAATCAGTCTGCCAATCAGTCTACAAGCATTTAAGACTCGTGGCCTGGCTCAGTTAGTCAGGCGCGCAAGTGGCATTCAGGCGGTCTTGGGTTCAAAACCCCCATTGGCCTCATGTACCTTCCTGGGCAAGCTTGGCGTCAGGCGCGCAAGTGGCATTCAGGCGGCCTTGGGTTCAAAACCCCCATTGGCCTCATGTACCTTCCTGGGCAAGCTTGGCACCCGCCACCTAGAGATAAGCAGTTGGTCCCCCTGACTGGCATTGAGCGGAGACTGCTGATGCTCATAGGGAGAGGGGAGAGGAGTGGAGTCACAGTGACTGGCCCATCGAAGAAGCTCGGTCCTGATGCTACCGGCTGACCCCATGCCCTGTATCGCCCACCTGCTGGTGGGTGCAGCTCCCGCATGTTCCCTCGTTGGAGACTTCAGCACGGATGTGGCTACTACGGGGTTCCCCGTAAAACTATAATGACAATAATAAAGGCCTGAAAGGCCGTCCTGTCCAGATTCTACAGGTAATTGAATTGGTTCCCAACAGACAGTCATCCGGACAGGGGTTTCGACCCAGTCCGCATATTCCGGAGTATTCCGGAACATTCCGGTTTTCCGGAAATCCGCATGACAGGGGTTTCGAACCAGTCGGGATATTCCGGAATATTCCGGAATATTCCGGTTTTCTGGAAATCCAGATGGGGCCAGGGAGTCCAGAGTCCGGCGTCCGGTCCAGTGTAGCTATGTTTTCTAGAGATGACAAAAAGTTGAAGTCAAAACACTTTTTTTTTTTTTTTTTTTTTGCAATTACAAAATCAGTCAATCGATTTAAAAAAAAAAAAAGAAAAAAAAAAGAGGCACGTAGTACGCGACGACAACGTTATGAGAAGAGGATATTCCGTATTATTCCAGAATATTCCAGTTTTCTGGAAATCCAGATGGGGCCAGGGAGTCCGGAGTCCGACGTCCAGTCCGGCGTAGCTATGTTTTCTCGAGATGACAAAAAGTTGAAAGTCAAAACAGATTCCCTTTTTTTTATTTTGCAAGAATGGCCTGGTGTCCAAGTGGTTAGGACACCGGCTGGAAGTGCGCATTGTGGTATGAGGGTGTGGGTTCAAAACTCCGCAGCCTCGCGCACTCCGCCGAACGGTGCTCTCATAGTACCCAGCCATTCGCACCCCACCCTTGGGACGACGCATTGGTAAGTTTATACAGACACTGCCTGCGCACCGCCCAAGGGACTGGTCCATGTTGTTAGTATGCTGGGAGCTGGCTTTGGGGGAGGACTGTTTGAGTGGTCGGCCTTTGGGGTGGTCCAATGACTACGGGGGTTACTCCACAGATGAGGGGTGTTCAAGGGGTCTGATCTCCGACCCGATGATCGGGTCTGCACTTAGGTTTAGGGAGTCTCACCGCGGGCTTTGGGGGAGGGTCGTCTGTCCTGAATGATCAGAGCCATTGGATAGTCCGATGTTTGGGGTTGCGCCCAAGATGAGGGGTACTCGAAGGGTTTAGTCAGGCCTCCAGTCCGATGATCGGGTCTGCACCAGACATACTGGCCAGTACGGGGTTTAGGTTAGGGATCGGGTTAGGTTAGGGTGTCAGTCCGCATGAGGGGTGTGAACCTCTCCAGGTTCCATGGGGGTTGTGTGGGTTCCTGGGGTGTCTTCAGATGTCTTGGGTACCACCTTGGGTTTCCCGATCTAGAGGTTCACCGATGGTTGAACCCACACTTGTCCCGCCCTGGTCCAGCCCTGGTCCTGGTCCGATCCCGCCTCTCATGCATCCTATCAGAGTGGTCGTAGCAGGACGGGTCCTACGTACTTACGATGCCTGCAGGCGGGCCACCGTTAAAATCTTACGATGCCTGCGCGATGGGCTTCATCCGGGATAGTGCCTGGTCTGTCATACCCACTGGGGAGGTCACTTAGGGGTACACATCAAGGGGATTCCTCCAGGTAGTAGACTCATCTGGGAAAAGGGTTGGGTGGTTGTCGTACCGTTCATAGAAGTGTGGTTCGCCACCAGAGTCTGTGAGGTTGATGCAGGTTGGAAATAGTCCAATCTGCTCCGGGTCGTCTCTGAGTAATCAGGGTGTCCTCTATGGTAGCAGTCAGGGGTCTGTAGCTAGATCCTTGGTACATTGCGGGTTTGGGAGCCTCGGTCTAGTTAGGCTAGGTCTAGGTAACCAGCTATAGGGGCTCGACTTACGACAAGTTAAAAAGTAACACAGGTAAAGTGTAGTCTCCATGGTTAGGTGTCCCCGAAAATGTGGATCCTCTAAGTCATCCCCCCACTGGTTGAACATGCAAATCAGACACTTCCCGAGGCATAGAGCCCAGCCGCTACTACCACATGGATCTTTAAAAAAAAAAAAAAAAAAAAAAAAAAAAAAAAAAAAAAAAGGCAAAAAAAAAAAAAAAAAAACGTTAAGAAAAGAGGAGCAAACGAAAAAATAAACAACCAACCAACCAACCAAGGTTTTTTTTTTTTTTTTTTAACTGACCAACTAATTAACTAATTAACGAATTAATAAATTTACTATACACACAACAGAAGATCCGTTTGGGGGGTGGACAGACACCCCTCTCTCTCTTCCAGAGGCCTATTTTCATTCATATAGGCCTTTTCATAAAAGTCTTCCCCTGCAGTCTCTTGTCGACCTCTCCTATCCTCCTTCCTCTTCCTATAAAAGCTTCTAAGCACATCTCTCTGCATGCCTCAGCTGCTTAAAACAAATCAGTGTGGAGTACGTCCAACTTACCTCGCGAGCCCCTGCCTCCTCGACTCCTTCCATGTTGCACAAATCAGTGTGGAGTACCTCCAACTCACCTCACGAGCCCCTGCCTCCTCGACTACTTTCTGTCCGCAACATGGGCAAACAGCCCGGCATTTCATCAACACGCATCCTCCTCTTCCCATGACGCTTGTAAACACTCATCTTTGCATGCCTTCGATGTGTGGAACAACTCCGACTCCGAGCGCAGGAGCTCCTTCACACAGTAGGGGTCCCTGCCACTTCAACATTCACAAAAGAGGGGGGGGCACTCAACGACATCACATCAAGACATCTTCTGCGTATCCAAGCTTCAAACTTGTCGAGGCCCCCCATCTTCGACTTTGAAAAGTGGGGGCAGGGGAAGGGGGGCGGGAGGGGGAGGAATCCCCTGACACCTGACATCAAAGCACCCTCCTCCCACATGACGCTTCTAAACAGCGACGATCTATCTTTGCATGTCAGCTTAGATGTGTGAAACAAATAAAGGGCAGGATGTGCTTCCGTCTCCGAACTGTGAAAGGTGCACACTCCCCAACAACATGAGATCAAGAGATCCTCTTCCCACTAGAGGGGATTGTAAAAACTGACCTTGGCATGCCGCCTTCGGCATGTGAAACGAATCAGAGAATCGGCAAGCACAGAGTGTCGTTCGACGTTTGCAACGTTAACGAGATCCTGCGTCTTTGAATTTCCGAAAGGGGGAGAATTACCCCCCCAAATATAAGATCGAAATGCAAGCCACCCTAGGACGACGAACCGTCAACCAGCCAACCAACCGTAAATAGACATAACAACAAATCAGCATGAATTGAATCTGAAATCTACGAGGCCGACCTAAGCGAGACCATCCTCACCTCTAATATGAGGCCTACCTAACTTTGTTCAACAAAATACGGAGAAGCAGTCAGATCTGATCTAGGACCAGATCCACAACTTACAGGACAAAATGAATGGCGTCCATGAATAGACAAGTGAAGCACGGCGAGCGCAGAAAAATGAACTCCTCTCGCGTGTGCAGTTCGCCATAGTGTCCCACATTTCATGCAGTGCAAAACTTTGGCCCTCACTAAACTAAACCACACTCTACACGTATGTGGAGCTCATGATCGTCCCGATACGTTCGACAGGTTGGACTCCTCCAAATGGACCTGGTCCAGAAAGGCATCCAAATGCATGTAGAACGTTGAGTAGTGGAGCGAGGCCCTTTATTAACTATTACATGGATCCACATCAAACAATAGGCAGTCTCGGGAAAAAAAAAAAAAACAACAAAAAAAAAAAAAAAAAAAAACCAGTGTTATATTGTGGCCCCCTCAGCAAGCCCACAACCTGAAATACATCAGGTTACTTTAACAAGCACATCCGTGCCCATGGCAGTCGGGGCCGATTACAATGCAGGTTCTACCCACACACACATAATCAATCTTAGTATTATGTGTCGTGTCGGTAGTTCCACGCATCCAATTACAGCGCAGGCTGTACACACACAATGCATAGTTATGATCTGGCTACATGAGAGAAATCATGTTCAAATAACACCATCAAGACTGACAAGCAAAGGTCTTGCAAGGCGGGGGGGTTCAATATCAACGCCTCATGTCGGTTGTGCACGTAGTTGACAATCGGCAATCGATGAGAATCAGACTGACAAGCACCACACACATGGGGAGGCCGGGGGGGGCGGGCGGTGGGGGGGGGTCCAATGGCCATGGAGGTACATTTGGAACCTACCGTAATCGGGGAGGGTGGGGTGGGGGATGGGAACCATCGACTTACATTATAAACCTACTACTCCGAGAACGGTGAATCTTCTTCACCTGAGCTATGTCCCGACTCCGTGTCGCTGTCGTACCCCGATGGGGTCCAGTT